CCGAACCTGGCCCTTCCGTTCATTTATGTCTTGTCTATGGCTGCTTCCCTCAACAATGGCAGAGCTAAGTAGTTGAGACAGAGACCATCTGGCCTGCTAAGCTGAAAATATTTACTGTTTTGCCCTTTGCAGAAAAAGTTTGCAGACCCCTGATCTTATAGATTATTTTAACCCTATATTGCCTTGGAATGTTTTAATGTTTTCACTGTATCTTAATGTTTCTAGCCAACCAAAAGAACTTTCAGCTGGCAGTTCCAAATAAAGGTCAGAACTCCAGAGCTAGACACCATTAAACGGCAAGTTGTTTTGCCCTTTTACTGCCTCTGACAGAAGCAGGCCTATCCCAACCTCCAATCCAACATAGTTCCTAAGGGGTGAGGGTCCCTGGGAGGAGAAAGGCTGTGGAATAGTGGAGAAGCCCCAAAAGATGAGGACATTAGGAGATGAGGTGGATTTTATCAGCATGCAGGGGATTATATTTCCAGCTAAATTCTTTTTCCATTTGATGGAGTCATATTCAGGTAATAGATATTTAAGCTGTGAAGTGCTTAAACCTGAACTGACAGACCAGTGGAAATACCACATAAACTGGGCATGGGGTGGGAGGGAGAATCGGGGAAGTGGCTCCAGTATACTTATTCACCCACCAGTGGGATGTGGCCATAATGCTTCCAGAGGTGGCTGGAACAAGAGAAATTAGGGATGAAAAAATAATATGCAATATTAGGTAGGACAACTATGGACCCTCAAACTAAATTAATAAAACACTATTTTCATGGAATTCTGGATGTGAGTTATTTTTGCATCTATATTTCATATTTGTTAATTTTTGGTTAAATAATAAATGAAAATATAAAACATCAAAAGTCTACATGTTGTAGGGACCAAGGCTCTTGGCCCCCTAAACGTTTGCTGAAAAATCACTGACATTAGGCAGATTGATGAGTAGGAGAAAAGGCACATACATTTTATTTAACGTGTATATATGAGAACCTTCAGAATGGAGACTCAAAGATACAAGGGAAATTGTCCATTTTTCTACTTAGGTTCAACAAAGTATGGACCGCCTTGTAGAAATATGTTTGGACAAAAAGGGTATGATCTAATGCTAACAGACTGCATGGGGAAACCCAGGTTGGCCTCTCTGAGCATGCATTTCTTCCTTCTGGGTGTGGGGCAGGACCCTCTCTGGAATGGTGGTCTTTTGACCTACAGTCAAATAGGGCAGGTCAGATAACTTCCTTATGGCCAGGTTTTATGCAGAATCATTTTCGGTTTTATGGATGGCTTTCAGGAAAAGGGGTTCTGGTTTTTATAACTAGCCTTGGAGAAGAGGGATTCTAATTTCTGTGGCTAGCCCCAGGGAAGAATGGGGCTGAGAGGCATGAGGACAGGAGAAAGTCAGAGAAAAACTTTTGCTTCTAAGGCTGCTTCTTAGGCTCTTATTCTGGGGTACTATTTTCTGAGCCCCAACAGTATGAAGAGCTTGGGATGAGACACCTCAGGGCCCATGTCATCTTGCACAGTGAAGATATCCATGGTGAGCAGTGTCTCCCCAAACCAAAGAGCCCTCTGCTTTGGATAAGACCTCCTGGACCTCTCACAATTTGGGGGAAGCCCCTTCCCAACCACCCAGCATGATGGCATCCTGGAATTCCCTACCTCTACAACATTAATGACAGCAATTCGTGCCTCTATATACAACTAATACCAACAAAACGGATGAGAAAAAAATCTGTGGAGAGTAGTAATTACTTGAACTTGATCATAGCACAAGTCCTTTCACATATTCATTTATTGAGTTCCTATTATGGGCCAGGCATTGTACTAGATCTTGGAAATACTACAGAGATGAATGGAATAGCAGAATGAATGCCTCCACCCTGCCTTTTGACAGCCAGGAAGCTGGAGACCAACACTGGGACCTCTGCTACAGACAAAAAAAGAACAGTTTTAACAATTTCACAGCCAAGCTTGCCAGCAGAAAGGGCAAAAATCATGGTCACTAATTCAGTGTTCATTCGCACAGGATTTGCCCTCCAGATCCCCAGCACAGTGCTCTGTTTGGTGAAGGTTAGGTCACCTGTGGAACCCAGAACACAAAGTACTGGATGAATAAGCGAGACCTCATCTCAAAAAAATAAATAAAATAAAGTCAAAAATAAATATCAGGCCGGGCGCGGTGGCTCATGCCTGTAATCCTAGCTCTCTGGGAGGCTGAGGTGGGCGGATTGTTTGAGCTCAGGAGTTCGAGAC